TCTTGAGAAAACACTGAGTTCCTTCCCCTCTCCCCCACCCCCCCGCCTCCCCCCCCCGCCCAAAAACACCCTAGCTGTTGGGTTATCTCAAAATAATTTACCAAGGAGAACATATAGCTCCAAATTTCACTGAGCCCATTTCTGCAACCCCCGAAATCCTTGAGTCTCTTTTCCAGGACTATTACCTAGCTATCGCAGTGATGGAAGAGCTTTGCATGAATAGTTTTATTCCTCCAGGGCCTTTGAAAACACAGATTCTTCTCCGGGTTCTTCTCAATGCGGTCATGTTCACACATACATGGCAGGCGTAATAACCCTCTCGCCTGTGGGCATTTTGCTGTTTCAATCTTCACACTCTTAGGGCTGGACTCCGTAACCTGCCCTGTTCCTTCTCCTAGTCCTGGGTTAGGCAACCTGCCATCACATTCTTTGGGAATCTTCTCTGAGCTGCATCTCTGCTGGAGTCTCCTTATGAAATGTTCTCTCAGCAGCTCTAGCAGCTATTGTTCGTAGCAAGTGAATCCCGGTATTTTTTCTATTCTGTGCTCACTTCTGAATAGTTAACAGCTGTGGGAGAATAGACCACCGTCCTTACCCTCCTGGGATTTAATAAGTAGGCACATTTTAAAAATTCTGTCTTTGTGAAGATTGAAAGAGAAATAGGGTGGGGTGCCTGAATGGTTCAGTCAATTAAATGTATGACTTTGGCTCAGGTCAAGATCTTACAGTTCATGAGTTCGGGCCTCACGTCCAGCTCTGTGCTGAGAGCTGGGAGCCTGGAGCCGTTTCAGATTCTGTGTCTCCCTCTCTTTCTGTCCCTCCCCTGCTCACGCTCTGTCTCTGTCTTTCTCAAAAATAAAACTTTTTTTTTGATTTTTAAAAAAGAAAGAGAAATAGGGCATCAGAAGTCTTACAGGAACTTGGGAAGATCAGCTGGGCTGTTCTCCGTGAAGCCCTCATAGCAGAAGCTGGGTGAAATGGGAAGACGTGTGGAACCAGAAGAACACAAGTCTGTAAACAGAAGTCAGGTTTAAATTCCTGCGCTACCGTTTCCTAGCTATGTGAACTCGGGCAAGTTACGTTCTCTGAACCTCAGTTGTCTTCTTCTGTAGAAGGGGTGGAGTATGACCTGCCTCCCTGGCATGGCAGATGCTAGCCAGTCAGGTACCTCTGTGCAGAATCTAGAAAGGTATCCCCACTGTGGGAGCACAGGGCCCCCATCCTGCTGAGGGAAGCACAGCAGGATTTCAGCCCACCCTTGCCCTTTAGCTCGGCACCCTCTCACACCCTGCATATCCTGAAACCCTACACAAGCAAGCCCCAGAGGTCTGTCACCTTACACCATTAGGAACAAGCCTAAGGATGCATGGGGCAGGGGGACAGGAATGGGGTCTGCCCGTTCTTTGGCGGGGAGTTGGCACTGAAAAAGGTGTCCGCCTTTTTACCTTCTCACTGGTCTTGCTCTCAAACTGATTCTCCTGTGTTTACATCACAACACTGACAATGCCTTGTTAATATACCAGCTCAAGGGTGTTACTCTTGGGGAAGGTTCTCAGGGAAGCAGGCCCTTTCCCTGCTCAGCTCTGCCCCCTGCCCTGCCCCCCACCCCACACCGCTGCTTACTACACAGACTGTTACCGCATTCACTGAGACCATGAAGGGGAAGACATGAAGACCTCGACCCCAAACTAAACTGCTCACTTGTCTCTCTTCTGTATTCCTTAAGGATAGCCCAGCAGTCTAGACTTCCTCCTATTTTCGATCCCAGGGGTTTCCAGGGTAGAGTGCTTGACCCCCAGAAGTGCAAACGATGCTCCATTGAGAAGTGAGATAAAAATGAAAACGTTTAGGAGCGCCTGAATGGCTCAGTCAGTTATGCTTCTGTCTTCGGCTCAGGTCATGATCTCAAAATCCGTGAGTTTGAGCCCCATGTCAAGCTTTGTGCTGACAGCTCAGAGCCCAGAGCCTGCTTCAGATTCTGTCTTCCTCTCTCTCTGTCCTTCCCCTCTAGTGCTCTGTTCTCTCTCTCTCTCTCTCTCTCTCTCAAAAATAAACACTAAAGAAAAAATGAAAACTTTGAGACAGGCATACCTCATTTTATTGCACTTCACTGTCCTCTGCAGATACTGTTTCTCACAAATGGAAGATTTGTGGCAACCCTGGGTTGAGCAATTCTGTTGGCGCCACTTTTCCAACAACATTTACTTGCTTTGTGTCTCAGTGTCACATTGTAATTCGTGCACCGCTTCAAACTTCATCATTATTATTATTTGCTATGGTGATCTGTGATCGGTGATTATGACTTGCTGAAAGCTCAGATGATGGTTCACGTTTTTTTGACATAACACTTTTGCACGCTTCCTAGACTACAGCATAGCGTAAACATCGCTTTTATATGTACTGGAAAACCAACAATTTCACTTGCCTCACTGTGTCACAGTATTTGCTTTACTGTGGTGATCTGACACTGAACCTGCAGTGTCTTCAAGGTCTGCCTGTATTTACCTTAAGCATACAGGGAAAGGAATTAAGCTTTTCTAATAATTCACCTATGGGTTGACAGAAGCTCATGGTTATAATTATGACTAGAAATGCATATACTGAGTGGGCACTTTCAGCATTTTTTCTCTGACATAAGTAAGTGATAAAAGTGTTCAAAGACCACCACTCCATTCTCTCACCTCTGTAGCCACCAAATTCTGTAAAAATGCAGCCCCATTTGTTATTCTTCCCTGCTTCTTTTTAAACTATATTGTCAAATTCGCTTACATACAACACCCAGTAGTCATCCCAACAAGTGCCCTCCTCAGTGCCCATCACCCCCCTTCCCCTCCCCTCCTTCTTTTGATGGACATAGTAAGTAATTGCTCCCTGCTTTATCTTCCAGTACAGAACTTACAAATTTTTTAAATGTTTATTTACTTTTGAGAGAGAGAGAGAGAGAGAGACAGAGCGTGAGCAGGGGAGGGACAGAGAGAGAGGGAGACGCAGAAATGGAAGGAGGCTCCAGGCACCTGGAGCCTGACGTCAGCACAGAGCCTGACATGGGGCTTGAACTCACAAACTGTGACATCATGACCTGAGCCACAGTTCGATGCTTAACTGACTGAGCCACGCAGGTGTCCCAGAACAAACTTTTATAACTCTCATAGAGAGACTTCCTCTCTCCCTCTAGCTTCATTCTTTCATTGTTATCTGCACAAGGTATTGAAGAAATAAGCTTTTTTTCCTAAAGCATAATTTGCATAAGGTAATTTGTTACTTACAGTAAAGTCAGATTGGGATCTTTTGTGTTTAATTCCAGAAATTCAGTAAAATAAAATAAGAATGTGGGCTCTGGGTGCAGGTGGCCTGAGTGAGATGACATTAGCAAGTAACTTAACCTTTCTGTGCCTTTCTCCTCATCTGTGAAATGGGAATAATAAGAGTACCTGTCTCATCAGATGAAGGTGACAAAAGAACAATTACCTCTGACATTCTTTGAATCAGATCAGTTGCGTATTAAACACAGCAGATGTTTTCAGCTGTCACACTACAGTCACCATCCTTATCCTCATCCCTGGGAGAGACCTGGGCCATGCCCAGACCTATGGAACCCTGAACTAGAACTACCAGTGTCCGTTCTGGATTCACCCACTTTCCCAGCAAATCCGTATTGGGTTTCTCCTTTGCACTGGGCACTCTGCGAAGTGTTGGATGCTCCACTCTGTTGTCAGACCTTGTCCTTCTCTCTGGTGGGCTGTATCTCCCATGCCATCAACTCTCGTCACATCCCCATGCCACAGCAGCCCTCTTTAAAATGGATTCAGTTTCTACTTCTAGAATCAATGTAAAAGGCTTTACTGTTTGTTACCAAAATCACTGAGTATTTTGCTGTTGCAGAATCACTGATTGCTATGGATTTCCAGCCATTTGACATCTTACGGTGCAAATAGATCTTCCCTGCCTTACTAATTCCACCTGTGATTGCTGTCAGTTCCTTGGGTTATTATTCTCCCTTCAAACTGCTTGTTGTTCAAAGCGTTCTATTTACATGGACTTTTTCATGGGGACAGTTTCTCCCGGTTAATTCAGAGAGTATTCTGCCTTATACTCTCTCATCTTCAAAAAGTATGCATGCACTATCCCTTACCCAAGTTTCAAGATTTGGGGGTTCCTGGACGCTCTTATAGAGCGTACTGTTTTTTTGACACATTGAAGAATTGGTACAGGGATAAAAGCTGTTAAGGCAGTATTTTGTCTAAAAAGCCAGCAAGTTCAAACCTAATTATTTTACTATGGAACACTTCTGTATTCTTTCACATCGTTTGGCAGAGGGATGAGATGGCTTTTATAGAAGCTTAGTAACTTCCCATTGTAGTAAGGCCATTTGCACTCATTTATGCACGCAGTCCAGGATATGGGGAGAAAGTAAAAGGGAAATGATAAAGACAAGAATTTCTTCCACATGCCCTCCTTCCAATCCTTTTAATTCTCATACACAAGTTTATATAATCTCAGGAGCCATCCAATTCAAGATTGAGTCTGATAAGGGATGACTAGCTGGCTCAGTCAAGAGAACAGGTGACTCCTCGCCTTGAGGTCATGAGTTCAAGCCCCATGTTGGGCATCAATCTGACTTAAAAAAAAAAAAAAAAAAAAGACTGAGTCTGATAAGCGAATGTACTTCCTATGATTGATTCTCCCAGGCTCCAGCAAGGGGCGAAATGCAAAATTTTAAAACTCATGAATGTTCTTTAGATATTTATTTTGTTGTGAGTTATAAGGCCTAACAGAACTGCTGCGTTTTGTCATAACTTACACATGATGAACAAAGTCAGATATTTCACTTCCCCAACATGCAGGCTGAGGATAAAATCCTGGTGCCGGAATCGAACGTTGTATTCTCCAGGCAAAGGAAATGGACATTTATTGGATGTTATTGCTGCTCTCTCCACGCTAATGACATTATCAAAGCTCTCCGAATAATATAATTTGAAAATATTACTTCTGTGTTTCAGGTCATGCAAGACAAGATCATCTGCCTTCCAAAAAGAGTCCAGCCTTCTCAGAACCACTCTTCCGTTTCAAATGTCTCTCAGGCAGTTGCCAGCACCACCCCACTGCCTCCCCCTAAACCGTCTCCTACTAACCCCGCCACCGTGGAAATGAAAGGGCTGAAGACAGATTTGGACCTTCAGCAGTACAGTTTCATAAACCAGATGTGTTACGAGCGAGCCCTCCACTGGTATGCCAAGTATTTCCCTTACCTTGTGCTCATCCACACCCTGGTCTTCATGCTCTGCAGCAACTTTTGGTTCAAATTCCCCGGCTCCAGCTCCAAGATAGAACATTTCATCTCAATCCTGGGCAAGTGTTTTGACTCTCCGTGGACCACTCGGGCTTTGTCCGAAGTATCTGGGGAGGACTCGGAGGAAAAGGACAACAGGAAGAACAACATAAGCAGGTCCAACACCATCCAGTCCGGTCCGGAAGGCAGCCTGGTCAACTCTCAGTCACTCAAGTCAATTCCCGAGAAGTTTGTGGTGGACAAGTCCACCGCGGGAGCACTGGATAAGAAGGAAGGTGAGCAAGCCAAGGCCTTATTTGAGAAGGTGAAGAAGTTCAGGCTGCACGTGGAAGAAGGTGATATCCTATATGCTATGTATGTTCGCCAGACTGTACTGAAGGTTATAAAGTTCCTGATCATCATTGCCTATAATAGCGCCCTGGTTTCCAAAGTTCAATTTACAGTGGACTGTAATGTGGACATTCAGGACATGACTGGCTATAAAAACTTTTCTTGTAATCATACCATGGCACATCTGTTCTCAAAACTGTCCTTTTGCTATCTGTGTTTTGTGAGTATCTACGGACTGACGTGCCTTTATACCCTATATTGGCTCTTCTATCGTTCTCTACGGGAATACTCTTTTGAGTATGTCCGGCAGGAGACTGGAATCGATGATATTCCCGATGTGAAAAATGACTTTGCTTTTATGCTTCATATGATAGATCAGTATGACCCCCTGTATTCCAAGAGGTTTGCGGTGTTCCTGTCTGAAGTGAGCGAGAACAAATTAAAGCAGCTGAACTTAAATAACGAGTGGACACCTGACAAACTGAGGCAGAAGCTCCAGACGAATGCCCATAACCGGCTGGAATTACCCCTCATCATGCTCTCTGGGCTTCCAGACACGGTGTTTGAAATCACAGAGTTGCAGTCTTTAAAGCTCGAAATCATTAAGAACGTCATGATCCCAGCCACCATCGCGCAGCTAGACAATCTCCAAGAGCTCTCGCTACACCAGTGCTCAGTCAAAATCCACAGCGCGGCGCTCTCTTTCCTGAAGGAGAACCTCAAGGTCTTGAGCGTCAAGTTTGATGACATGAGGGAGCTGCCCCCCTGGATGTATGGGCTCCGGAATCTGGAAGAGCTCTACCTGGTTGGCTCTCTAAGTCACGATATTTCCAAAAATGTCACTCTTGAGTCTCTGCGGGATCTCAAAAGCCTTAAAATCCTCTCTATCAAAAGCAACGTTTCCAAAATCCCTCAGGCCGTGGTGGACGTTTCCAGCCACCTCCAGAAGATGTGCATACATAACGATGGCACCAAGCTGGTGATGCTCAACAACTTAAAGAAGATGACCAATCTGACGGAGCTGGAGCTGGTCCACTGCGACCTGGAGCGCATCCCCCACGCCGTGTTTAGTCTGCTCAGCCTCCAGGAATTGGACCTCAAAGAAAACAATCTGAAATCCATAGAAGAAATCGTTAGCTTCCAGCACTTGAGAAAGCTGACAGTGCTCAAACTGTGGCACAATAGCATCACCTACATCCCAGAGCACATCAAGAAGCTCACCAGCCTGGAGCGCCTGGCCTTCAGTCACAACAAAATAGAGGTGCTCCCTTCCCACCTCTTCCTGTGCAACAAAATCCGCTACTTGGACTTATCCTACAACGACATTCGGTTTATCCCACCTGAAATCGGAGTTCTGCAGAGTTTACAGTACTTCTCCATCACCTGTAATAAAGTAGAGAGCCTTCCAGATGAACTCTACTTCTGCAAGAAACTGAAAACTCTGAAGATTGGGAAGAACAGCCTATCCGTACTCTCACCGAAAATTGGAAATTTGTTATTTCTTTCCTACTTAGACGTTAAAGGCAATCACTTTGAAATCCTCCCACCCGAACTGGGTGACTGCCGGGCTCTCAAGCGAGCCGGGTTAGTTGTCGAAGACGCTCTGTTTGAAACTCTGCCTTCTGACGTCCGGGAGCAAATGAAAGCAGAATAACTTATTTTTCTTTAAAGCTTGACTGACACGTGCTTCTACCAAATACAGTATCGATAATTAGGTAGTCTTAATGCCTTTCCTATTTTATTTTTATTTTTTTTCTCTTTCACACAAAACAAAATGTACACAGAGATTGAGCAAGGAGTATGTATTTTTTAATAAAACTTTAATTGTATTTTCTCAATATTAATATTTTAAAGTTTTATTTGTCCTGGAACCTCACGTATCTATTATTGTTTTCTACTGACAGGAACAGGTGGTTCCATTTGTTTTTTGTTTTATCTTTTTTTTTTCGTTTCATTCTTATAAAAGGGAGGGAATTTTGAGCTGCATGCTTTCTGGCATTTTTTAAATAGATATTTTGGCAAGGTCATTTTTAGCTTGTTTACACCTGTACAGTGTCCTTGTTTTTGTTTTCACTGTGTATGTACCAAACAACGTCTGCTAGTTTATGGTAATGCCAGCTGCCTTCTCCATTGGCCAAGCCCTTCATCCTACGGAAAACTTTTCTCTGGAGCATAAATTCACATAAGTGCATTGTCACAGACTATTGTTCTTAAAATTTCTCCTCCTCTCCAAAAGGACCCTAAATTGTATATACCTGACAGCCAAAGTTATCCTTAGGCTAGGATTTTGTGAGTGGAGACAATAATCTTCCAGGGTTGGCTTACTCGAATTGGTCATTTATAATCTATCTGATCTGCGTTTTCAGCGACTTTTCAGAAATGTCATTTAAAAGCAAAATACAGAGGCCCTCGCCGCCCCTCGCCTCTTAATCTTAATATTGCTATGTACTACTGGTGAACAACCTTAGAGAAGCTCGATTTATTTTAATTAAAATAGATAATTAAATTTAAAAATCAGAATCAGAAGCCTGGCTTTTAAGTAATTTAATAATCTCTGATATCTTGATATGTGGGTACATCAGATGGAAGGAAAAAAAAATTCGCTGCAAAAGCACTCTGTTAAAGGGCTGGCACAGCGTCGTCAGGCGCCCTGATTGCCCTGGGCCTTGTGGGGTGGTCATCTATTCGGATTCTGCCTGTTCCACAGTATAACCCATATACACAGAAATGGAGCTCCCTTAAGCCTGCCCTTGCTGTGGATGCCAGTGATGGAAGCACAGGGACTCTCTGCTCTTTTTTTTGGCTTAAAATAAGCATCTCATCTAAAATGGTTCTGTTACTTTGGTTTTAAAGGGGTGAATAAATTGCTAAGCAGATGTCACTCAAATAATTTTTGCTTGATGGTCAGCAGAGCGTTTATTTATCTTTGTGTTTAAACCAACATAGTATGCATCTTGGGCAAAATCTGTCACTGATTCTCACTCGGTGTAGAACAGGAAAATGAAAAGACTATTTGTGTCCTCAATCCAGGACCAGTATTACCAATCGTGGGGATTTTTGTTTCATGTAGTAAATTCATGTGGACTGTTTCCGGAACTCCAGTCTGATCTAATAAAGTTTTTGTGACTTAACAACGCAAGAAAATAGGAAGATGATTTGGGGTTTCAGAACACTGCTTTTACAATTTGCTCCCTGATCCTGGTGATTTTGCTCAGTGCTGCTTCGAGTCGTATATAGAACGCAACTACAGGAACTCCTCAGCAGATACGTGTACCTCAGTCGTGTTTCAAATGTTATGAGATGCCATGGAGTGAAGGATTTGGGGAAGAGATGCTTTTTGTTTGTTTAATAATGAAATCATGTAGTCCCAGATGCTTTACTGTGTCTGCTTTATGTTAAAGTGTGTGAATGGCGATTTTGTAGAAGTGATTTATTTCCCACCCGGAACTGAAATGATATGTTTAAAACAGTAACATGGTTATATTTCTTGTAGGATAAAATATTCAATTCCAGAATATGGGTAGGATCCTGATTATGAACAATGTGTTGTATTTAGAAACATAGCCCTATTTTGTTTTAAGCAAACAAAAGACCTGGAAGATTCTCCATGGCCGAGCACGACAAAAATACCCTGTCGAAAGGTAAGCTTAAATAACTACTGGTAAAACACTGGGTGCACTATATTTCTGAGTAAAATTTACAGGTATTTTCTATATCACCCTTCCAAAGGGATCTATTCAGGTTAAAAACCATATTTATGCTGAAGTCTTTATCTGGTGTTAATTCATAATCTCATATGGGTTCATAATTGAAGTAAGGCACTAATAAGTAGTTTTATCACTTGTAATAATTTGTTCACAATTCCAAGAGACTTTGACCTGCTTTCTTAATAATGATTTCACAGGCTGACCCCAAGCCTAAAGTCTAAATAACATCCAGCAAATCAGTATTGTTCTATGACTTTATGTTTTAACTAAGAAGGAAAATTCGTAGATGTTTCTATTAGATTTTATAAAATCTCAAAAATCTCAGACTTCATCTTGAGTCTCAATTTTCTGACTCTGGCCCTTCTGAATATTGTAAGTTTTTGTTCACATTTGTAAGCAAAAAGTATTCAATTATGTTTAGCCTTTAAATGCAAAACTCAGGTAAATGAACTGCTGACTTTTCTAAAGTCCTTTAATGGATCAACTCAGTGTCTAAACGGTATTTACCTAATCCCTTTCTGTATTTTACAAGTGCTCTTGCTAAAGACGAACAGTTAGCTCTATTTCTCCAACTTCTACAGGAGTCATGAGAAACTGCTTACATGAATACAGAAGCACCATGTGTAATCCTAACTCCTATGGCTGCTTGAAGCCCATGATGGGTTTGTTTTTTGGTCAGTTTTCATGGTTCAGTGTAAAACAGGTTCACTGTCTGGTGACGGGCGGGTTGAAACAGAGCATCTAAGCACATCCCAAGGGAACTCACGCCTAAGGAGACCACACTCCGAAACTAGTTATGTGTTAGGTTTCTGTTTTGTTCTTAACACAACATTTTTAATATGAATGTTCTTGATACAGTGAAACCTGTTATTTACTACAATTGTAAATTTTTTCCTGTTGTCCACGCACCTTTTCCCTGGCATTACATTTCCTTTGTGGCTACTGTAAAGAGTTCTAACAATTGCCGTGGCACCCTGTTTAGCAGGGGCTGCATTTTCAGAAAGACTTGGAAAAGATGCCTGCTGTGAGTATTTTGTTCCTTCGGAGGTGCCTCTTTATGTCCCTCTCACGCCATCTTCATAGAGAGCCTCTTAAACCTCCTGGAATCTTTCCTGGGTTCCTTGGTATGAGGAAAGCCCAAGTTCTTGCAATACTATCTTATGATTTCTGCTATTAAGAAAGAGAAGACAAATTCTTTACATCTCATTACCATTTCCCCTAAGAAGAGCTTTGCTGTTGTTTATTTTCCTAATACTGCTGGGTTTTTTTTTAAAAAAAACTCCATTTGTAAGTAGTTTCTTTTACTCTCTAATTCCGTACCAAATACCTGATCCATACTAATGATGTATTTACTTAAACAGTGAACATTCATGGTCCATCTTTATGAAAATGGTCAGCAGTACTTCATAGTGAATACATAAGACACATTTTAATATAATTCCGTGTTCTATTAATTCCGAATGTGACCATGCTAGTCTAGTAGTTCACATTTTTGGTAGGGTCTCAATAACTCACAGTAGGGTCCAACAGCAACCTTAAATTAGTAAAAACAAAGGGAACAAAACAGAGCAGTTAGTGGGAGGGGAATGCCCCAGCAGTCGGTAAGATAGTCTCATCTTTCTTGTCTATTCAGACACAGTGTAAGAAAATTTGGACAATTCTCAACCCAGACCTGCCATTGATTTCTCAGATTTAGGCCTCAGTGACCTGCTTCTAATACAATTTCGTACCAGCTTTTCAAACTAGGTGTCCGCTCTTACCCCATGTTCCCAGGGCCACGCACAGACAAAGGTTCATGTCCTTAAGTTCATTCTGGGGAAGAAAAGAGTGTCTTCCTGCCCCCAGGAATTTTTTTTCTCTAATCAGAAGACCTTGAAAAAGGGTACTTTGAACAACTTAATTTGTTGGCCATGTTAAGTAACAGTTCCTCTGTATGGTTTTTAATGTATAAATTTGCTTTCCATGGAATACTATTCTCTCCCACCTGATCCTGCCTCTTCAATGAATATCTTTACTGGGGTCGAGACTCCTAATGCCTTATGTGTTCACTCAGTTGTTGTTGTCGTTGTCGTCGTTGTTTCCCACCACTTGTTTTGTCTCACTGTCTCTGTGTGTTCAGATTGTGTCAGATGCTTTTGTTAAACCTCTAAGACTGTCAAGAAAATGCTTGAAAGTTGATTGGTCATAGTGCAAATTCATGATAAAATGTCTTAATGTTATTTGGCTATGTAGTACATAGGAACAGAAAATAACAAATAAAGACATTTTTGTAATTTAAAATTGAGATTTGTCCCTTATTTGATTGTAGAAGTCACATTTCTCTTGTGTTTTGCATCGTCGGTTGCTGGGGCTCTCTGTACGCTGCAGGACATAGGCTGCATGCATCCTTTCAGTCGGCGTCCAGCCTGTTTCTGCAATTGTGACTAATTATTTCCTTCCTTAATTCACTGGGCTGCATCTACCTCAGGTGCCCCTGGAGTTTCATTTGGGCAATTAGCGCATTAATATGTAATCTGGGGTGCAATTTCTGTGCTTTTGCCAGATCAGATTGTACGATTGCTGTCCAGCCCAGCTTGCAGTAAAGACTTCTGTGGTGGCGAGCGTGGTTACTTAAAGGAATCAGAATGGTTCTTAGTTAGGATGCCTCCCCCTAGTTAACCACATCCCCTCCAGGCCTACGGAAGCCCTTTTTAAGTGTACGCACCACTTACGCATAAGAAAACCATAATTGGTAACTTTTGAAGTTAATTTGTCACTTAATATATTTTTCTATAGTCATTTATGACTTCACTGTTTTACTGATAATCATTGTTTTACTGATAGTCCTTTGGGGAAACTATTGAGACTAGGAAGGATTCTGAGTGTGGGGAGAGGCCTTGTGAATGTGTGCATCAGATTGTGTTGGGAGCTCGAGAAATTGTGGACACAAGAGCTGAGAAATACAATAGAGTAGAGACAGCTGGTGATTTCAGTGCAATTTGTACATACAAAAACGACGATTCACTGGTACCTTCCAATGTCCCATCTTCCGGTCCTTTCATTTATACAGAATATTAAAATAAACCCTGGAGTTAAATAAATTGATTCACTGTT